ATTGGCGCTCTCCCGAGCCTTTATGCTTGCTGGAAAGGGTGTTATTTATACTTTTGAAATGAATATGTCCCGAGCGGGAAAAGCATTACCGAGCCAAGCCGCCTTAACGACACCGATACTCCGCTATTATGTTCCTTGTTTTTTTTTTTGCTCACGCGGCTTTGGAAAGTCGCGCATCATCCGTAATTCCGTCTCTTCTCTTCTGACTTTCCTTCTACATGATTATTTGTTTCATTCCTACCTACGATTTTTCTCCCCTTTCTAACAATCAACGAGGATTAATTACGTAGGCGAGAATGAAATGAGAATGAAAATAGTCCACATCGGCCAGACTATTATTGCTAAAATCGTCAGATAATGTCATAAGGCAATAATAATACCACTGTTCGATTTATTCGATGGATGCTTTTACCGCCTATCCCGATTTGGTACATTTGCCATACACACGAGTTCTTTAATCGTAAAGCTGATGATTTTATTAGCGAGAGCTCAGGGAGATCGATAAAGGGTAGATTAACGTCTAGAATAAAAATCCTATGTTACTGGCATTATGAAATGTGCGGACGCGATTCAAATAGAAATATCTCTTCGCGATAGACGCTGGAGTGCGTATTTCGGTAGGTAATGGGTAAGAGGAGAAGCTGTAACGAGGCAAATACTCTCCTCCGACCAGCTTTATTTATCCCTTTATTCGCCGATGCGCCGTATACGAAGACAAATGGCGAGCTTTCAAGGAAACGACACTCATCGGATAAATATCGGTTTGAATTCTAGCCAAAAGAGCTAAGGGGCTTGCTTTCGACGTGCCCTCCATCTCTCCTCTACACCCCCGGCCCCCATCCCACCGCCATCGCCACTGCCACAGTGAAAAATCAACGGCAAGGAAGAAAGCGCGAAGCGGACCAGCATTACCGGCCAACTGCATTTATCGCGGCAACGGCAGCGGCGGCCGGGGCGGCGCGCATAAATCGAAAAGGCCGTTCCGCAGTGCTAAATTCGTCCCGGCGCGTTAATCCCGGTCGGTCTCCGGGGGTCGACGCTCCATGCGCCCGCAGACGCAGACTGACAGTTACGGTCCCAGAATCCGCGCCTGGAATCCCGGGGATGGCGCGCGGTCTTCGCGCGCCAAAATTAACCCGCCGTGGTCTCGCGAGGCGCTCGGGTATGCGGACGAGGACGATGTAGGAGGTCCAAGCCCCGAGGTGACGAGGATTCGCGGAACTAAAGCGACAAGGTAAACGGTCTGGCTCGAACCCGAGCGGCCCGTCGGATATTTCAGAGAGGCCAATAGGACTCGGCCCCGATTGCTTTCCTCCTTCGTCCGGCAAACGTCGTGCAGGTTGCTAGACGGCATAAGGGCGTCCTTTCTCTGCTTCCTCCCCGCCCCCAAACCACTCACAATTTCCCCTTCTGTAAGAGTCCGAGGAGCGGCTGGCAAATTCCCGCGCGCTTTATACAGCGCCACCTGACGGGGGGTCGGGCATTCTCCGGGGGATGTGCGCATTGATTTTCGCCGCCCGTGGTTTATGGG